AGTAGCCAAAATCTTAAAGACTGTTAGAAACTTGAATGCTTTTCTTCATTAATAAACCAAAGTTGGGTTTACCATGTTACTTCTAACATGGCCTTGCATTTACTATGATACTTACACCAGTGGATCAGAGAAAACGGTTTTGCACTTCTCATCGTTCATGACTTGTTTTCCCCCTTAACTTATTATCCTGCATTGTAGTAAACCATTCAATCTCAACTGATCCCCAACTGTGAGGTTCTATTTAATCTACAGTCGTGGACAAAAGTTTTGAGAATGGTACAGATTTTGGTTTTCACAGTTCGCTGCCTCAGTTTTTAGGGTGGCAATTTGTTTTAACTCTAGATTGTGAGGAGTGATCAGATGAATCAAAAGAACATTGCTGCTTGTAAGATAGCGTTTATTGAATCATCAAAAACCTCGAGGAGAGTGGTTCAGTTGCAGTGAGGAAGACTTCAGGCCACCCAAGAAAATCAGCGTCGGGATGTCTCCTAAAAAGGATGCAGCTACAAGATCGGGTCACCAACAGTGCAGAGCTTGCTCAGGAATGGTAGATGGCTGGTGTGAGAGCATCTGAACTCACAGGGAGATGAAGACTTTTGGATGATGGCTTGATGTCAAGAAGGGCAGCAAAGAAGTCTCCAAGAAAAACATGAAGAACATTGACTGACGTTCTGCAGAAAGTATACGGATTGAACTGCAGAGGACTGGGGTGAAGTTCTTTTCTCTGATGAAGCTTCCTTTAGAATGTTGGAAACATCTGGAAAAATAATTGTCTGGAGAAAAAATGGTGAGCACTACCATGAGTCATGTGTTATGCCAATAATGAAGCATCCTGAAACCATGTGTGGGGTTAATTTTCTTCTAGGGGAGTGGGTTCACTCACAGTTTGGCCTCAAAACACTGCCATGAATAAGGATTGGTATCAAAACATCCTCCAAGAGAAACTATTCCCAACGATCCAGGAGCAGTTTGTGGATGAACAATGTTTTTCCATGGATGGACAAACATAAACCTAGAAGCTCTGATCAACTCCAAGCACTGATTTGGCAAGAATGGATTACCTTCACTCAAGATTTTCCCCAAAAGCTGATAATCCAGCACGTCGAGGCAAATTGCAGAAGTCTTAAAGAAGAAGGGTCAACACTGTAAATATAAAATCTTTGCTTAAACTGCATGTATTTGTCAATTAAAATAAAAAATACACATGAAATGCTTATAATTGTACTTCATTATACCAAATATCTGACAAAAGGTTCTAAAAAAAAAACAAGGCTTCAAACTGTGAAAAACAAAACTTGTGCCACTCCAACCTTTTTGCCACAACTATATAATGTGGGAATGTCCTGTTCCCAAGACGCAGCTTCAATTAAAAGATCAATGTTCTGCATTTGTGGTGGTTTAGTGCTTCTCTGCACAGTAAAATAAACACAAAAAATCAGTATAAACAATTGATTAGACAAGATCTAGCTTTAAATGGCATGCAGTTTTAAAATATTTACAACAGAACAGAGAAAATATTGCATACAAGCAATAATTAAACAGTAAGCTGTGGTAAATTAATTTGTTTCTTTGAAAATGTGGATATTGTTTTTAGTGTTTGCAAGGTGGAGCAGGTGCAGTCTTATATACTGAGGGGCAGGGAAATCTCTAAACCACATATTGATGATTTTGCTGTTATCACCTGTATGCATCTTTATATATGAGCTTCTTTTTAATATTATTCACACACCCCATTCTATTCATCCTTCACCGCTCAGGGATACATGAAAGTGGGAAGAGGACTGGGAGAGAGAATCAAAGGAGGCTGCAGGACTGGGGACCAAGATAAAGCATGAAATCTGAGCCATGGAGTTCGGTCATGGTGTTTTTAAATTTTATCATGGACGTCAGAGGTTCCTCAGGAGAAGGAACTGCAGGAACGCAAAGAAAGGCAGAGAGGTGTTGAGAGTTTTCCATGCTCTGAAAGGCGAGCTCTAGTTTAGATAATCAGACTAGATTGATGTTTCATGCATGACTGGTGAATTATCATGGGATTATTTTCAATATATATATTTTTATGACTTTGTATTTTGACAAATATGTAATATTGGATAATTTTTCTCAATAAATAAATGACCAAGTATAATATATTATCTTATTTGTTTAACTGGGTTCTCTTTATCTACTTTTAGGACTTGTGTGAAAATCTGAAGATGTTTTAGGTCATATTTATGAAGAAATATAGAAAATTATAAAGTACCAACTTTCAAGCACCACAGTATTGGGATTTAATGAACTATTCTTGTAACACCAAAGTTCATGCTCAATAATCCAGGTATAAAATCCAACTATGTTCACTCAGGTCATCTGGACAGTTTCTTTTTTTGCTGAGATGTTTTGTCCTTCATCCAAAGGACAGTTTATACCTGGATTATTGAGCATGAACTTTGGTGTTTTGAACCACTTTGGCATGACTGTCTCAGAAGAGTTGACGAGGGAGAGGGCGGGCCCCGGAGGCCATCATCACCAGAAAACTGTTTTCTTCCACTATGGAGTATGCTGTTTGTGGGAATCAGATTTGTTTGGTGGCTTCTCAGATTGAGGAAGTCCTTTGGATGAAGGACGAAACGTCTCGGCAAATAAAGAAACCGTCCGGATGACCTGACTGAACATTTTTGGGTCTTCCCTATAACCCAAAATGCCTTGGAGGATTTATTGTTCTTAGCATTTTAGTAGTAAATGCATCCTTAAATTACTGGATACATTACTCTGTCTTTTGGTTTGTTCCACTTTGGAGTAAGCTGTTTGGGGGAAGAATCAGTTTTGTGTTGTATGTTTCTTTGACTGATGAAGCCTTCTGGATGGAAGGTGAAACGTTTCAGCAAAGAAAAAGAAACGGTCCATATGACTTGACTGAAATTTTTAGTCTGACTTTTGTTTTTCTTTTTCACCATACGAGTATTACCGTATTTTCCGCATTATAAGTTGCACTTTTTTGCATTACATGCCCCTGCGACTTATACGCCAAAGCAACATATTTATGGATTTTTTCCCATATTTATAAAACAATTTTTTGGCTGAGATATGACCATTTTCATTCATTTTGACAGATTTTTTTTTAGCAGTACCACTTTCAGCCACTTGATGGCAGCAGAGTAGTAGTTGCAGTATGGCATGCCATTGTATCATGTAATAGATAAACGTGGCTATAATGACAAATTCAAAATAGTTCAAGACAAAAACAACTGGACTTTATTTATTATACTTTATACTTATTTTTTTCTTGAACTTTTTTGAATTTACCATGTCCTGGATGACTGACAATCTCCACCAGCTATTAATGACTCAATCGGCTTGCCATACTCTCCCCACCTTGGTTCTGCTCGCTGCTTGGACCAACCATCAATCCAGATGCACCGCCCCGGTGAAATGCAGCTAATTTGACCATTAAAGTGCATTTATTAAGTAAACGATAGACTGAGACACATCCTTACTATAATTTTGAGCAAACAATTGTTTAGGTGCTTGTGAAATTTTGAAGAAATGGGCCGCGTTCCTCCTTCCTGATTTCCTCCCTCTGTGCGCTCCTGGACCACCAAGGCAACAAAACTATTTTTGAAATGCACCTGATTTGACCATTAAAGTGCATTTATTAAGCAAACGATAGACTGACAAACACATTTACTATAATTTTGAGCAAGCAAATAATTGTTTTTAAGTGTTAATCTTGTTAAAGTCCTCTCGTGCATGCTCCCGCGGCCGCCATTTGGCAGCCAATCATTTTTTGGCACAACACCGGCCCACATTTCCAGGTTGTCAGCGGTGACGCATAACGGATGCGACAGATGCGACGTATACGACAACGCAACATATTTATGGATTTTTTTCACTTTATTAAACAAATATGGACTGATGCAACTTATAGGGCGGAGCAACGTGTACGGCGGAAAATACGGTATACATTGTACCTCCTTACTTTGTGTGTTCTGTGGTCCAGTTTTCCCAGTCCTTTTGGGGCTGTATTTATCCAGTTCCTCGGTACCTCTGGAACCACCAACAATGATAGTAGAACGAGGACATGTTCACATTTTCTCAAACTGCTCATGACCTCTGAGTTAGAGTTCTGTCTGCAAGAGTCAGCACGTGTTGGAGAACACAGTTTAATGTAAAGACAGAGGAATGTTTTACTCTGGAAAGCTGCCTGTCTTTGATCAATATGACACCTAATTAAAACAGAATGGTATTTGCAAATTGTTTTCTTTGTAGGTTAAATGTGTTCAGTGTATCAAATATTTTACTGAAAAGTGTAACAAGTGTAACAAAAATAAGTGACAAATGAGATGGTTTTGTTGAAATAAATAAAACATTTTATAAACATCTTATAAGTAGCCATGAATACAAGTTGCCTCTAAGTATAATTGACTTGTTGAATGATTGACGTACAAAATCAATAGGCATGTTGGACCAAATGCCCCAGCAGGTATGAAGAAAATGTTCTTGCTCTTTGGCTGACAGATTTTGAATAAAAGATAAAGCTAAAATTTTCTCGGGGAACTCCTAAATAAAACAACCAAATATATTCCAGCTGAGTCTGAAACTGCTCCAGAAATGCTTTATTGTGTATTAAAGATGTAAGTGTAGTTCTCCATCTTTTTCCTCTGTGTCTCTGTTCACCTAAATTTTAATCCTTTAACCTTATTTTGTCCTCTTTCTAAAGATTTATCCTGTGTTGAGTGGAGTTATCACGTCTTCCTGTTTGAAATCCTTCTCGAACCATCAGCACCATCATTTTTTGACCCTTTGCTTCCCACTCGATTAATCCTCCAATTGTCTGCCTCCTGTACTTTTGACCTTTTATGATTCACCTCTACATCAGTTTTCTTTTTTTAATCAATGGCTCACAGCCCTTTATCGCTCCCTGCCTACACATTATTTTTCTCATCATGTCTGTATCATGTGCCCTCGTCCTCCTGTTTTTACATCCCTCTTTCTAAATTCAGTGTTTTTCTGCTGGTCCACAGAACCATGAGAGGGAAACACCACTCCATTGTGCAGCGCAGTACGGACACTCTGAGGTGGTTTCAGTGCTTCTTCAGGAGCTCACAGACCCCACTATGAGAAACAACCGGCAAGAGACCCCCCTCGACCTGGCAGCACTTTATGGACGCCTTCAGGTTAGTCAGAATGAAATACAATCTGCTCTATTAAAAAATAGAAAGGAGCAGAAAACAAACGTGTTTCTGCCAACAAATATCTGTTCTATCCTAAATTATTAAATCGCGTGCCTCTAATTAGAAATTCTTGCTATTAAAAGATTTAAATTTATTCCAGACTGCTTGTTCTTCTTGCATTTCACTGTTTAAAACCATAAGATGTTTAAAAATGTCTTGGGTACCATTTTGTTACATTTTGAGGGTAAATTCATATCAATAAGTGGTGACACTCCAAGATGACAAAAGACTTACTTTAATAAATAAGATAATGATGTATATATCTGATTTTTGGTACAGCTGTGACAGAAGGCTAACATTTTATATGCAGAAAAAAAATAAGTGCAGCTCCAATAGATGACATTTGCTTTATAAACCCACAAAGCCCATAAAAGATAGTCATTTTTTAAATTTTGCTGTTAAATGTTTGATCTAATTGTACTATCATTTAAAAAACAATAAACAAAATATGTAGGAAATTATTTCATTTGCAGGCATGTTTCAGATTTTGTCCCTAAAAACTTAAAAACACAACATCAGTTCAGATTAAGTTAAAAATTTGGTGAAATGCTGTTTATTAATACATTTTATGTACCGTATTTTTCGCCATATAAGCCATACCCTTTTGCATAAATTTGCAAGTCCTGTGCCTTATACACTGAAGCGACTAATACACGATTTTGACACTTGGCTTGCCGTAGCAGCCATCTTCATTTCGTTCCAGAACTCCTGAAGCAAACGTCAAATTAGCTTCATTTTGCCGCGCCGCCCAGGAGAAATGCAGCTGATTTAACCGTTAAAGTGCATTTATTAAGGACAAGTTAAACTGAGACACAACTTTGCTATAATTTTGAGCAAACAAATAATTGTTTTTATGTGTTAATATTGTTAAATTCTTGTTAAAGTGTCCCGTGCCCTCTCCCGCGGCCGTCATTTGGCAGCCAATCGATTTTTGGCACAGCACCAGCCTGCATTTCCGGCTTGTCAGTGGTGACTCATAATAGATGAGACAAATATGGCAAAACTACTTATTTATGTTTTTTCCACTTTATTAGACATATTTGGACTGATGCAACTTATATGATGGAAAGTACCGTAGTAACTTCAAGCCATTTCCCTTTTAATCCTGTTTTTATTATGTCAAAGCTGTAAGTCATTCCAAAATTAACATGCGGACCATTTTTAAGCATTGGCTAAAGGTCTTTTGAGGAGCAGGTACAGGTAGAATAGATAAAGTTAATCAACAAATATGATCTGGGCTGCAACATGAGTCTGAATGAGCTCAGGCTGCAATGCAAAAAAAGAAGGTGAACATACAGATTTTTCCTTTAACTGAGATAAAAACTATGAAGACACCATGTAAAGATAATTTTAACTACGCAAAGCCTGTTTCTAATCTATCTTTAAAACAAAGTTTTCTAACAGTTGTGCCTTCAGAAGTAATGCTTTTCATTTATTTTGACATTGATTGTTTCTCTGCCCGCTGCCATAAAGCTGGGAAATCCCTTAGAAAAGTGTCTGTTGTCAGTGGAAATCCCTGTTTTAAATATAAGGATGGGATTTCTGATGACATCCGTTCAGACAAATAAAAAATAAGTTTTCAACTGGGCACTCTCAGAAACAAAACTAGCTTTTCACTAGCCGGATGATAAAACACCTCGTTTCAACAAACTACAGATTATTTTGAAAATTAGATGGAAAATTTGAAAATACCTTGATATTAGAAGAAGAAAAATCCCCACTCTGACCAGCACAGGTCTCAGATTTGTAAGAAAAGATAATTTAAATGCATATTTGTTTTTATCTTATTCCATAAGAAATGAAAATAAATCTCAGTATTACAAAACAATCTAAAAGCTCAACTGCCTCAACTCTATTTGAATCACGTTGCAGGAATTGATGGATATTATCAAATTAAATAAAGCTGACCAAACTCAAAACATCTTTAAGTTGGAGTTAATAAAACAAGCAGCAAAAAGTTTTCTTGGATCTGGGAGTAAAACTTTGAATGTGTGCATGCATTTACATGTTTTTCTGGGGTAAAAAAAATAGTGAATTCACTTGGAGTTGGCAGTTACTAAAAACTGGTTCTGCCCATTATTGTCATTGCAAGTTGATACATGGTGAAAAAAATATGACCAATGGGCAAATACAAAATGTTTGGCTGTTTTAAAGAAATGGGACACAAGACAAAGCGTGTCCACACAGATGTACATCTGCTACAAATGTCTCCTGATGTTCAAGCGGTATTTTCTCTGCTAAGGTAGCTGTAATTGCAGTCGAACCATTCAGGTTGAGTGTGAATGAATAATTTATAAAGGCAGTGCTGTAATTCTCTTTCTGCATTCTAATGAATGGAAATCCCTGTGGTGGAAGCTACCGCTGCATTAAGATGTATAGAACAAGTAAAGAGCGAAAAACATTATTTAAGGCAACATAAACAAACAAAAGTGAAACAATCTCCTGATGAAGTTGACTGACTGAACTTTTAATATAATGACTCACAAATAAGCAGACAGATCTGTTGCATACGATTAGAGGAAAAAAAAAAGTTCAGAACCTGAGGAGTGATGGCTGTGTTTCCTTCGCTGGCTGTTTTTGTGTCCAGGTGGTATGCATGCTGGTGAGTGCCCACCCAAATCTCATGACTAGCCAAACTCGCCTCCACACTCCGCTTCACCTGGCTGCACGCAACGGACACCACAGCACCATCCAGACCCTGCTGGAGGCCGGCATGGAAGTCAATTGTGTGGTGAGTTAGATTACCTCCAGGTTTTGGACTTTGTCAGCATTTAAGTGTAGATACAAGGTTACACGTGTCTGCTTTAGCTTAGCTGCCTCGTTCACCTTTTTGAGTTGGATGTACCATGATGAAAACTAAATTGAATTGCAGCTAATGTCCACTACGTCAATCTCCCATCCTGAGCAAACACAGGTGACAGTGGGAAGAAAAAAAATTACAGGAAGAAGCCTCCAGCAGAACCAGGCTCAGGGTAATGCCTGTATAGTCTATATGAGCAGTGTCAAAAGTGCGGCCCGAGGGCCATTTACGGCCCTTGGAGTGATTTTGTGCGGCCCACAATTGCAGTTTAAGAATATCATTTTGGCCAGCAGGCTTAAGAGGTTAATGCAGACTTAGCAGGTTTAACAGCAAAAAAGTTGGGGGAAAAAAAAAAATCTCAAAATGAATACCATACTTTCCGCCCTATAACTCACAGTTTTTTGCATAATTTCCATGCCCTGCGACTTATGGGCCGAAGCAACATATTTATGGATTTTTTTCTGCCATATTTATAAACCAATTTTTGGCAGAGATATGACCGTTTTTATTCATTCTGACTAGGAAAAAAAAAAGGCAATACCACTTTCAGCCACTTGATGGCAGCAGAGTAGTAGTAGTTGTATGGCATGCGATTGTATCATGTAATAGGTAAACTTGGCTATAATGACAAATTCAAAAAAGTCCAATACAAAAACAACTGGAGTTTAGCTATTATACTTTACTTTATACTGTCTTGTTTTTGTCTTGATCTTTTTTGAATTTACCATGTCCTGTGTAGATGAACATATACTGTGATATATTCATAAATTAAACGGATTCATTCATTTATCTGGACTGAATAATATCGTGCATTGAATAATTAAAAATGTAACGTGAGACGTTAATTTCCTTTGACCCATCAAAATGAACGTGGTCATTTATTTTCAGAATCAAAATTTAACATCAAACATTTACATTAATTTGGCAAAATTGAAAATAACAACAGGTTAATTAATCAGTTTACAATTAGAAGACCATACGGCGATGGTTGAAAACCTTGCTTCACAACAGACATTTCTGAAAATATCTGGAATGATTTCTAGCAGATAGAAGAGTTTAAAGATGGAAATTGAAGTTTAAGTTGAGAGAGATGGGTGAGGGAAATGGTGTGTGAGTGAAAGTGTTGAACAGAACGGCACCCTCCATTCGAACCCAGCTTTCCTCGGTACGCTCGGTAGTAAACTCCACTCATTACCTCCCTGACGATGAATCAGCGGATACGGAGTTCCAGTTAACGCTACCGGTCCAGCGTCTCCGTAGGATGGCAGAGAACCATCCGGAGTGGTGGCGGGACTTCATCAACAACAGTTCACCTCACGAGTAGACTCACATGAGTGGAGTCCGTCAGAAGTTCCACTCAGATGTGGAAGATTGCATAATTCCCACAAGACTCTGAAGAGCTCTGGATCATGTCTGGGCTTCTGTTCTCCCCAGCACTTCTTCCGTTCGGTTCTGCTCCCAGAACTGAACTCGACTGCACTCGACTGGAGCTGCAAACGACTGAAGCCCGTTTGAACTAGGAAGTACCGACATTTAAAGAGTTCTATTTCCGGTTCATTTGGGAGGTTCCTGATTGGTCAAATCGACCAGACAGGGGTGTGTTTTTGTGACGTAAGAGGTCACTAGAAGTCAGAAAAACAGAAAATGTTTTGGAACAGATTGAAAATGTTTTTAGAGACAGACGAGAGAAATGTTTGGACGAGTTGGGTGAAACAGGTGCCAGCTTCTCTATATTACGTCTGAGAGGATTTAAAAACATGACAGTTCGTTCCAACAACTTGTTTTCGACCTCTGACCGACATCACAATGTGCTCATTTCAGACAGAAAATCAGAAAATGCATGAATTACTCCGTAACACATTCCAATTTGATTTCTACTTTGAATGAGGATTAAAAATCACTAATACTGTTTCACAGTTGATTAAAAATGATTAGTTCACTTCAACATTTAAAAATGGTTTGAACTAAACACACTTTGATTATCAAACATTTGTAAAATAGTAATGATAATATAAAAAAAGAGAGTGTTCTTTCAATTGATCTGTGCAGGACACTTAGAAAGTCTCTGGATGAACTTAATCTTGTGTTTCTGGACTCAAATCAATGAAATACAGTTCTTGTTCCAGGCAGGCCCTCAAGGCCAGATTTTGACCTGAGGCTTAGTTCACTACACCTGGATGACTGAGAATCTTCACCCGTTATTAATGATACAATCAGCTTGCCATAGTGCACAGTGCTCCTTGGGATGTTTAAAGCTTGGGAAATCTTTTTGTATCCAAATCCGGCTTTAAACTTCTCCACAACAGTATCTCGGACCTGCCTGGTGTGTTCCTTGGTCTTCATTATGCTCTCTGTGCTTTGAACAGGACCCCGAGACTATCACAGAGCAGGTGCTTTTATACAGAGACTTGATTACACACAGGTGGATTCTATTCATCATCATCAGTCATTTGGGACAACATTGGATCATTCATAGATCCTCACTGAACTTCTGAAGTGAGTTTGCTGCACTGAAAGTAAAGGGGCCGAATAATATTGCACGCCCCACTTTTCAGTTTTTTATTTGTTAAAAAAAGTTTGACACATCCAATAAATTTCATTCCACTTTACGATTGTGTCCCAATTTTGATTCTTCACAAAAATTTAAATTTTATATCTTTGTTTGAAGCCTGAAATGTGGCAAAAGGTTGAAAAGTTCAAGGGGGCTGAATACTTTCGCAAGACACTGTAATAATCAATAGAGGGAAATTTGACATTTTTAATTAATATAAAGTGGTATCATCTGCATACGAGTTGAGCAACTTTATCAAACCTTCAATTAATCTGTTGTTGCGACAGACAGCTGGATGATTTTTCAGAACTTTAATCAGCCTTTGGGCCATCCATGGTCCAAAAGGCTGATCAATGCCCTTTTAAAAGGACACTTACTCATATTACGCTTTTGCTGCTGAGAACAGACTAAAATGAACTTTCCAAACACAAGAAAACAAAACATCGACCCAACAAATCAAATGAATTAAATAATTTTAAATAAAAATCTAAGTTTAGTGTTCATGAGGCTTTTAGTGTTTTGGATCTACAACAATTTAAAACTCTTTCTCCACCAAAATTATTGAACGTTTGTCTTTTCTTCAACATATTGTTCATGCTGAGAGTTTAAATTCACATTGTTTGCAGCCCACGAGTCCTTTCATCTTGATAGTTTTGGCACGCTTGTACACAGGTTTTATTATGAACACTGTTCTCAGGATTCAGCAACACACGATTGTGTAAATCCGCAAACTCACACTTATATTTGTAAATTATAAGTATTGCAAGCTTTCAGCAGAAGCAGTGTCTTTTGAGGAATAAATAAAAGCGTCTGTCTTTCTATTATTAGTGCAATGTTTTTAATTGTTGTACAAACTGTTGTACATTTTTAAGATTTTTCTTGTTGGATCGTGTTGTTTTTAGAGGTTTTAAAAGGACTGTCATTTTGTTGCATGTCCGACACCAAACGGTCTATTCTTGAACGTGTATCGGAGAGCATGTAAATCCTGTAAACGCTCCACATGGTTTGGTGGTGTGGGATTAATAATTGATTAGTAGACGAGTGTCAGAGGAGGAGAAGCGAACAGGATGTTCCTGAGGGATCCTCATAGTTATCAGTTTAATTTCTCCTCCTCAAACATGAAACAGTTTAAACAGAGGCAATGGGAATAGTGTTTTTTTTTTAGGAATGTGGAGCTAAATTTCTTCATATGGCTTATTTGCACTGCTCCTAATAAGCCCCAACTCTGCACAGCCTGCCACAGAAAGAACCCTTTTGCACCAGTACTTTAGCTAGTATTTTTAGCTGATTTGAGGCTGATTCAGGACCTCGTTTCGTCCCTGCTTCTCTGGTGGGACCGAACGAGCTCAGTCGAGCTGACTCCGGACCGAAACGTGAATGCAGGATGCTGATTGGTCAGGGGGGGGAGTCACTGGATCTCAGAAACTTTTCAGCAGTGGCTAGATCTATTGTTAAGATTTTATAAACAATAATGGCAACGCCGTGTTTAATTCTGAAGTCCAGGTGTTTTTTGTGTTTGGTGACCGACGACAAAATTTGAGCGAGCGGAGTCACCGCGGAGGATCATACGAGCTGCCCACTTGTCACAAAGGCCAGATTCCGAGCCCTGGCAGGCGAGAGGACCGGGATGGAGGGTGGAAATGTTTTTTTAAAAACATTTTATGTATAAAAAATTTTGTTGTTTTTTTAAATCGGTGAAGAATAAAAATAAACGGTGCTGACTTTATCATGAAATCCTGTTTTCACTTTGACTTTATTAAATAATCTGTTAATTAAAGTTAACTCAGCTGAAAAATCATAAAAAGACAAAATTATTGGATCTCGGGAATATTTCCCTGAAACATGTTTAAAAAAGAGATGCAGCCTTTGATTCAACATTATTCTAACCCACCGATGTACAAATCACAAAACAAGAATTACACTTTAAATTAAAGCTTTAAATCAAAGCTAAACTTTAAATCAAAGCTAAAAAATAATCTTTATACAAGAAACAAAACCACGAGTGTAAATACATCAAATGATGAAGAAAAATATAGAATTTTAAATATAGATGTTTTTGTAGAATCTGGTTCATCAGATTTAATTCAATTCAGTTTATTTATACAGCGCCAAGTCACAACATACGTCATCTCAGGGCACTGAACAGAAATAGTCAAATATAAAATAAGTTAACAGAAACATTCATATATAAAAATAATAATTAACATTATTTATCTGAGGAGCAGACTGCTTTGAGTTTAATCCAGGCTTAGCTGAGCCGGGCTGATTAGGAGCAGTGCAAATAAGCCATTAGTAACACAATCTTTACAGTATTCTTCTTTTTGCTGCTATACATTTGTTTGTGTGTACTTGAAATAGCATGAATGAATCTAATGTGTAT